ATTGTTTACTTGTTTGTCGGGTGCATGTGTGTGCCAATTCTTCTATGTTGAACCAAGCCAATTTTGTGTGTATGTGTGCGTGCGTGCCTTTGCACTGTGTCAGGGGGAATAGCCTGTTGGGGTTATGGAGGGTGCAGTGTGGGGTGATGAATAGGATGCTTTTGTGCTCAGTCTCTCAGCCTGTCTGCAAACCAGTGAAGGAGAGAATAGTGGGAGAGAAAGGGGGATGAGGTGAGGGGAGATAGCCAGATAAAGGGGAAGAAAAGAGGAAGGGAGATAAAACGAGGGGGGGGAGGGGATGAGAGAGACACTGTGAAGTGTGGGGAGTACAGGTGGGACGTGAGGTGAGAGAATGGGTGGAGAGGTGAGGAAGAGGAGGGGAATGTGAGAAAGGAAAAGGAAAGAGAGACTACTTGTGCATTCAAGAACACTGCACCGTTGTCTTTTCAGCCAACAAAGAGACAAAGAAGTTGGCTAATGTAGGAAATCGTTGCCATTCATGTCGGTGGAAAAAGAAAAACAAATGTCCCAGAGAGGAAAAAACAGAAGAGAAAGTGCCCCGCTTGGTAATTTTGATCACTTGGCAGAACACAGACGTGACCTCGTGGCCTCAACCTTCACACATGATGGGGTTTGGAAATGAGCCAATCATATTGACAGATGCTGATGAGTTCAGCCAGAGCTGTTGGTGTTGGTGTGGCCACTTTAATATCACATAAAGAGAAGCATTCGACTGTACTACTTTCTAATAAAAAATAATGTATAATACATTTTAAATGGCACAGCATTACAATAGAGACCTGGCTGGGAGCATTAGAAGGTCAACTGTGATGCAAAGTCTTGAGATGTGATATTTGAAAGACCTTTAAAGCGAAAAAAAAAAAAATTAAAAAACCATCACATGAGGAGGAAAACACCCAGGACCTTTCCAGCCTAACTCTGAGAATGTACATCCAGCTGGACTGACAGGTTGAGCTGTGAATGGAGCCCTAGTACTTTTAAGGTAGGTGTGTAATGATCCATCGTTCATATTATAGATGCAAAATTAAAACATCGATCCAAATAATCATCTTTAAGACATATATTTAAAATTCCCAAGGCACATCTGTGTCATCGTCAAACAGCGCCAGGCAGATAATGGCGAGCAGCCAAAAACATGACAATGAGGATATTTACTCGCCTCTCAGGAATAAATCAGCAGACTGGAAATATTTATGATTCCAGAGAAAAGACTGGTCAACAGACAAAGCACATGCCATATATTAAATAAAATACTCTACCTGGCCGCTAACTTGTTGCTCTCGCTATGGCAACATTAGCTAAAAAGTATAAATAATACATGTCATTTGTTACGTTATGAGTAGAAGAAAAGCTCACCAACCACGAGGCTAATTTATGCAACCTGAAAGTGCTTATGCTGATAATGGTGACTGCAAAACACAACTGAACATTCTACTTCTACATTTTGAGTAGAATTAAAGTCAACTTTACTGCACTTTATTGGTTACAGTTGACAACTATTTATGTGTTGTATTTCGGTTTTATGGCCAAAAGCAAAATAGAAAGGGGCGGAAGCTTCCTCTGTAACCTACTGTGTTAAAGGACCATATGAAACCATCTTGAATCGATTGCAGGCACCTGATTTGAATCAAAATGGTACTGTAGCAGACTTATAATTAGGGCTGCAACGATTAGTCAACAAATCGATGACTAATCGACTATTAAAATAATCGGTGACTATTTTAGTAGTCGTACTTTTCATAGAAAAGTACTATAAAAGTACCCCAAAATACTCTTATTGCAGCTTCTTACGTTCAGATATTGGCAGCTTTACACACTCTCCCATGAACTAAAACCCTTTGGCGTGAGTATAAAACAACACATTAGATGACATAATTTGGGGGTTTGGGAGAGACAGACCGACATTTTTCAACATTTTACACATTTTTTGATAAAATGATTAGTCGACTAATCGAAGAAATAATTGACATTTTAGTCAACAATGAAAATAATCGTTAGTGGCAGCCCTACTTATAATGCCAGCAAATATCGTTTAGTTGTCCACAAAATTAATATACTGTCATAATTTGATGAAACCAGATGCTCACACCGTGATTTTTGGTACCAACTGAAATGTCAGAAAAACTTAAAGCTGGCATCTAAAGCTTGGTCTTCAGCTATCATAAACTGAATCTCTATGGTTTACACTGTTGATAGATAAGGACAAGTGATTTGAAGATGTCACCTTGGGGTTTTGGAAACTGTGACAGTAACAAACAGTGGGTTTTCTCTATTTTTAGACATTCAATAAAGCAAACAAAGAATCAAGTAATCATGAAAGCACATAAATAATCAGCAGATTAATCAGTAATGAAAATAACTGTTAGCTGCAGCTCGACCTGCATCAAATGTTTGGTCAGATTTGTGATGTTTACTCGTTCTTTGATGCGATAGTTTCTTATTTAAATCAGAATAAGTCTGCCAGTTTTAAACTGTTTTTGATTTAGGCAACATGTTTATACATTAAACGTTCAAAAAATTTGGTTTCACAGCTGAATAGATAGTCAATTAGATGATCAGTAGGTAAATGGAAAAATTAATCTTCAGCAATTTTGATGATCAGTTGATAATTTGGCAAGCAAGAATTGCCTAAAATGCACTGGTGTCAGCTTGTCAAATGTAAGTTTTTGCCTTACATAAAAGCAAATTCTATTATTTGAGGGTTATATTTTCTTTATTTTGAGGTTTTGTCTTTGGGAACTCTTCTTTTCTGGCATCTTACAGTCGAAACATTTAATTAATCAGTTGAAAAAGTAATTAACTGACTAAAAGATGATGTCAATAATCTTTAGTTGTGGCCCTTTTTAGGATTATGTAGAAATCTCATGTTGTTTTGGTATCAATTAAACCCAGGTACCATATCAGAGAGTACTGAAACATTTCAACCTATACCCAGCCTTAGCAAAAGGATGGACCATTAGATAAAGGTCTGCAGTATGTTGCATGTTTGGCTGCGTGTTAGTGATGAGGAATGTTAAGAAGCAAAGTGGTCTGTGCATCTGCCTGTCCATGTTACTAAAGCAGAGTCTGGGTCTGTATGCATCCAGTATCCCTCTGATCTGACTTTCTGTACAGCATATCAAGTGTCTCTTCACAGCCATAAACATTATTGAGCTGTTGTGTCAAAAAATGAGACAAATATAAAATATAAATATATTGAGATCATGCTGCAAAATAGCCACAGCTCCAAACATCTTCCTCCATGCATGTGTCTCACATTTGGATTTTCCATCTCCCTCAAAACACAAGACAAAACACTTGAAATTAAGCCATTTAGCGCTGATGAGGTTTTTTCCCCACAGAAAAACAGAGAGATGTGCTCCATCAGTGCCTGTTGATTCAGGCACACAGATACCTCACTCCTGCTCCATCTCATTGTCTCACTCTCGGACTGATTCAGAATGAGAATCGGCCTGGAATAACTAACCCTAGCGTGGACGGATAAATACTTTCTGTCTACCCACACCGGGGTCCTCTGAGGCCATCGCAGCATGGCTTTTCTATGATGAAACAGCAGCAAGCAGTGGAGGGCTGAGGGAGTGGGCGAGCAGGACACAAACTGTTTTTCTCCACAAACAGCAGGATGAGATGTGGAGCTGGCAGAGATATGGCATCCATACCTCGAGCACACAGCCAACGCAGCGTGCGTCCTCACTTGCTTTGCAAAGTCACACACACACACACTCCTTTTCTGAATACATCTAAGTAATGGCATATGCAAGAAGTAAATAAACTGAGCCAACTGTATGTGAGCAAGCTAATTTGCATGTTAACAACAACAAATGTCTTGCGCTTCCATTTGTTATATTAAGCTTGTGTTGTGCGAGTCCTCCAGGGGCAGCGTAGAGGCTTCCCTCTTACTCGACAACACTTACGCTCAAAGAGCAATCAAAGATAACCTCAGTGGCGGCAAACAATAGTAGAATAGTGTTGATGAAGCCAGGTGATGATGTGAGGAGGCAGACATCATTAGCCTCCATCATCACACTTCATCAGAGGAGAGGGAGTGCGCCCGCTCTGTTGGCGTAATGAGCTGGAAGCATGAACAAAAGCAGATGGCTTTATGAGTCAGACAATAAGGCGCTCATCATTGAATATATATCATTCATTTCAATTTAGGCAGTCGGGGCCATTTTTCCTCCTTGCTGTACCTCAATGGGAATCCATTATCAGGGCAAATTGAAGGGCTGCCATCGCACCGAATCAGCTGGATTTCACTGAGACTTTTCACTGCTGGGATTAATTCATCATGATTTAAAGAGAGTTTAAGTACAGTACTCAGCTGATGGCAATGTGTGTAGTGATGAATGGCATTCCCAAGGTTCCTATTATGCTGTACATCCCAGAATCTATAACACAAGGTGTTAATTAGCATGCACTGTGATGAGGAGACTTATGGCCTGTGGTGCTTGATTGTAAGTGACCTTATCAGGCTTTTATGAGACTTTTGCAGTTAGTTTTTATTGCTGCATGTCCTTATTTCTTATATGACTACAGATTTAGTTGGGAAAAGTGTCACATGTCTAAAATTTGCAACCCAACAGTCAGAAATCTAAAATCAGCCTAACTTTCTCAGTGAAAAATGAAGTTGCAGGCTGGAAATTGAGAACAAAAAGGGGGAATGTGATACACAGCTACATCCACATGACACCAGCTGTCAATCACCCAGACTTTGCCAACATCTCAGTGTGTGCACAAGTGTGTTTTTGCACAATGCACAGAGAGAAACTTGGCTTGTGCTGCTCTAATCTGTTTTTCCTCTTGAAGAGCTCACAGCAGGACGGCTGCCTATGGAGCAATTAAAGCCTCTTTCTTAATCCAGCCGCCCCTGATGCTTAAACCCCGCAAACAACTGGAACTCCTCTTCCTCTTCCTCCTCCACCACCAACACCTCCTCCTTCTCCTCCGCCGCGCTACACAGCAAGTGCAACAGTACTCACCCCCAGTTTCTTACTCCGTATCCTCACGTATCCCTGTTTGACTATGTCGTTGAAGTTGGAAGCCATGGTGAGGGGAAGCGGGTAGCTTCCTGCCCGGGGTGGAAAAATAAAACAAAGTAACCTTGTTTTTGGGAGGCAGGGTAGCGAAATGTTTCACTTGAGGGTCGGTCGGTGAGACATCCAGCAGCAGGAGAGGAGAGGAGAGCGGGCGGTGGGCAACCTGCTCCTGTGTCAGCGCTCAGGCTGCCCGGCTTCAGCGGCGCGATCCATCCGCGAGAGGAGGGAGATACCATTCGTCAGCTGATTCACTGGAGCCGGAGAGGAGAGCAGAGGAGAGGAGAGGAGAGCCTGTGTCAGCGCTCAGGCTGCCCGGCTTCAGCGGCGCGATCCATCCGCGAGAGGAGGGAGATACCATTCGTCAGCTGATTCACTGGAGCCGGAGAGGAGAGCAGAGGAGGAGAGCACAGGAGAGGCGCGCTTCCTGGACCACACCATCCCCGAGACAGTGAGGGGGGTGGGGGATAACTGCTGCGCAGGGAGGGAGGGAGGGATATTTAATCCAACACTTGGCAAAATATTTTTCTCTCTACTGTTATTACTCTAACAGTGTCAGTACTGCAGCTGACCACTCATTCCCCCATGTCTCCAGTGGAAAAGTTGCCTGTAGCGGGTTAGTTGACACTAGTCGTCTTGGTCAACAGTTTCTGGAACCTGATTGCTCATTTCTTTAAGAAATAAGCTCAAGTCTTAGAGCTGTTTTCAAACTTCAGTGTAAGTATTTGGGAAATGTGCCAACTGGGATAATAAAGCAGGACAGATATTTAATTCAAATACTACTAGCAGGTTGTAAAAAAAAAAAAACAAAAAAAAACGCAATAACCAGAATATGGCTGACTAAAGCTGGATTTATACTTGTGCGTCAAATCTGCGCTGTACCCTACGCCTCAGGTCCTGTCTATACGACAACTATTTCAACGGAAAATGGTAAACTTATCATGTTTTGCCTGTTCGTTTACTTGACAGCTGCGTTTTGGGTGCCTGAAAACCGCAACCTTTTGTCTGCTTTAATATTTTATCTTATTTTATTTTATTTTATTTTATTTTAATGTCTACTTTAATATTTTATTTTATTTATTTCATTGTCTATTTTAGTATTTATTTATATCTTCATCTTTATCTCTTGTTTCCATTCATGCTGTATTTCTATTTCTACTTTGCACGGAGCACTGGAACAAAAACAATTCTGAAAAGTATTCTGAATCTGAATCTGAATCTGAAAACGGGTTCCACAGTGCAATTTTTTTTGTAAACTTGCAATTTGCATTTCCTCTGAAAACTGAGACTTTTCGCACATGCGCATTACGCTTCCAGTCACTAGGCATGCGCCAGAAAGTCAACCATTACAACAACAATGGCGGACTCCCGAGCTCTGTTTGTGCTGCTCGCCCTGTTGAATTTATCAACACTTCTCCAAAAAAGTGTAGATTTACTGCAGCAACTCCACCTCGTCATCCGTCCAGACAAACGTTCGTGCGGTTGCCATTTTGTTTGTTCATACGTTACCGCTCTGTAGAGTGAGGCGCATGTGCATGCATACTACAGTGTTATGGGTCATTTTTGCTGATCCGTGTGCACAGCGATTGTTATCAAAGCGTTGTCGACTGAACGCGAAACGATAATGAGAAACAATTCTGTTTTCAGCAGACTGTTTTCACATAAACATGGCCATAGCCTGATGTGCACCTCCCCAGAAATGTAATTTTTTTGTATCATTCTTTCATAAAACAACACTGTAAAAAGGACTTAGTATACAGTTGAGTATACAAACATAACAGTAAATACAAACACAACAATAACACAAACAGAAAGCCAGGGGGATAACATATTTCACAAAGATATTAGACGTACAGATGTCATCTGTCTTAGTAGCCTTTTTGTTGGTCAAATCAATAAGCAGTTTTATATAATGTTCAACATCCTTCAGACAAAAGAACAAAAACAATATGAGGTTTATTATTGTTGAGCTTACATTTATGGATAAAATACTTTGCCAAAATCATTACCCAGTTAATTATAAAAAGTCCTGTCTTCTTTTTTTGGGTACTTGAAGAAACCAAACAGCACATTTTTCCATATAAGTCTTCAAAGATATCCACGATAATAAACGAGTCTTCAACAACCTTTGAATGATAGAAATAGTTAAGGAAATTTATGTTATGGAAAAACTGACTTTACCTCTGAATAATGCCCCTAAAAATGTGGAAAAATATTGGAGAAATGTAAATCATATTCAGCTTTGAAGTGATCTTTTATTTATATGTTTATTCTGTTTGGTGAATTTTGTTTTATTCCCCTTAGTGTTAAGACTTAGAGAATGGACTATAGCTTATGGATGAGTGGAAGATTTCTCCCTCCTTAAAATACCTTGGATTTCCATGAAGCAAAGTCATGAGGATAATGGATCATAAGGACCTTTGTGATTTTAATGTCCATGACCATCCTTATCGTGGACATAAAGGACATAAAGGACATGGACATATCCGTGATACTACAATGTAACCTTGCCTCTCTTCATTTTCTGTTTTACAGGATGTTAAGCATTTTTCCTTCACCTATGATGTCCGTGCCTGTTGTCCTTGCGTTTGTCTGCTTCTTGTAAAAAATAATAAAGAATAAAGTATAAAGAAAGAAATAAGCTCAGTCATAACAGAGTGCCCCAGGGATGATGTTTCTTCTGTAGGCTGACGCAGAAGTTAGCATCGCACTGGTTCCCTTCTCAAAAAGCCTGTGTGATTTTTCCATTGGATTTTGAGCTGTTGCTGAAAATAAACTCTGTGGCAAACAAACATTTTCTGATATTTTCTAATAGGCAGTCTTCACAAATGAACACCACTTCCAGGATTATTGAAGCCCAGATGCAATCGCTCAAAGTAGAAGCTAACGTTAGGCTATAAACAAACTACACTACATTCACATGACCTAATGTCACCACTATAACAAGACTTTAAAGCTGTGTTCGGCACATTTTGTAGTCTCATTTAGCCACTCGTCTGCAACCGCCTGTTTGAAGATAGATAAAGCTCATGAGTTTGGTATTACATGACATATTTTATGTCGCAGAACAAAACATTAAAGTCTGTTAGGCTTGTGTTAACCACAGACCTTATTTTAGGCATCTAACCATTAGGCATTCAAAAAAAATCATTGACTTTGAGATGAGAGACCCAGGAGTGCGAGAATGCTAACTAATTTTCAGGTTTTAGGACTCATTCCTGGTACACTCTAAATCATGGCATATTAAAAATATATAATTTAATCTTTGCTTTGTTGCCTTTGAAGGAAGATAGCACATTATTCTTCCAACAAATAAAGAAAACTAAAGGTTTTTTTTTTTTAGTTTTTGAGGCTTAGTATCCTTACTAGCTAATATTAGCCATCATAATCATTTGGTCTGGTATGACCAGTTGCTTCTCATACCATAATTTAAACCATTTCCTGACATGTTAAAAACTTAACAATTTTTTTACAAGATTGTTAGAAAAAAATCTGCAGATAAAGTTGCAGCATTAAAGAGAAACGACACCCATTTTCAAAATTAATTTCAGTTCTATGCTGCACCAAGAGTTTCTCTCTCAAAGGTCCAAAGACAAAGCCATGTCAGCTACGTCACCTCACTCAACATGATAACAACAACAAATACACAGCTGGTCCGGTGGGGTAACAGCTAATACTGGGCACGTGTGAGCTGTGTTGCTATGGATACATGCACTAGTCCATTTGAAAGCAAGGCCAACTGACCAAACTCAATCAAACATGGACTGAACATATCAAATCTGACCAAACATCTCCAAACAATTCAAACAGGGACAGACAAGCATGGCACGCCAAACAAACATCTGTGTTTGCTGGAGAATGTTTCATTAGCGTGCCATGAGCTTGAGACAGTCCGAAAACATAAATAACTCTCTCTCAAATCCAAAAAGTAAACAGCTAAAACTCAAATACCTGATGTCATCCAGCTTTAATATTTTTAGACACAAGGCTTTAGGTTGTGTCTGGGAATGCAACAATGCATAGGTGGAGATTTTGGGAGGGGACGCAGGTAGCAGAGGACTTTTATTTGACAACATTAAAGACATTTACCCCATGAATTGATGCAGAAAAGGCACAAACTGGTGCAATTAACTTTGATTTTCTCCCTCTGCGCCCTTGCTACAGTGAGTTGACAATAGCTTCATTGTGCATGGTAGTGTAAGGTTAAAAGGACGCATCGATGCTGCCCGCCAAAGCCTGTTTTAATATTTTTCTATACCCTGTACAGGCCAGCACTGTGCTAAGTTTGGGAACTTGTGGTCATTCATCATTTTGATCACTAAAATATGTATAAGCAAGCGCTCAAGGTCAAGATCAAGGTGCTCCTCTTGCACATTTGTAACACTCAAAATATTTAATAAGACCTCTTCTTGTTTAGTGAATTTCAAATGTAACTTTTGAAATCTGTAAAAACCATTCACATCCTGGCCTCCCCTTTCCCCCCCAGCAATATGTTCAAAGAAAATATGCAAATGCACAACAGAGCCCAGTGTTCAGACTAATTTGCAACACAATTTTTTTCACCATTCCTTTTGATTATTATTACCTGTCTGAGTATGAATATCATTTCCATATTTTTCACCAGACAGCCTGCTAATAAGGAAATACAAAGGAGAGATTGCCAGTGTGTGAGCACCGTGTTTTGTCATTATTAGGTGGCCTTGAATTGATGTTGTTTCATTTGTTGAATAATAAAACCAGATAGTCCAGTGCCCCATTAAAGGATCAAATAAATTGCAAGCAAACCAGACTGTACAAAGCAAACAGCCACCGCCTGCAGCTTGTATATTGTAGGTACAATGCTGCAGATTGGCAATCAAAAAGCTCTGAAAATAAAAAGCACAGAAACAAATTTTGATCCCTGCCAAAGCTATAATCCTGATCGGGATGTAGTGAGAGGCGTAGCTTGGGTTGTGCAATTGCAGAGAGTGAAATCCTCGGTATTAGGGAGCAGATGGCTCAGGTATATTGATATGAGCGGCTGCCGTTACTTACGTTGATTAAAATGTGGAGAAGAGATGGCTTATGTAACAGAGTTATATAAACAACTATATGATTAAGTGAAGATCACTTCCAGAATACCTCTTCACAGATTCTGTTATCTTAAACTCCTCAATCTAGCAATGAGAAAGCGGCGTAGATTAATGTGGCAGCATCAGAAAACAGAGAAATGAGGACACAAATGTTCTATCTTTTCTCGCTCTGCACAATTATCCTGTTGCT